AAATACCCTTGCGAGCAACTACTGTCCACAGAGCTTGACTTCAGAGATGTTTATTTCTAGAGGTAGTGGAAAAATTTCTCACCTTTCAAAGGTTCCAAATATATCTTGGTGCTGGCTGGAGGCATTGGCCATCAGAGTTTCCTCGCAGGCAGTCACAGGCTGATGGTGGGGCCACAGCTCTGACAGTGCCACAGGTGTTGTGGGAGGCTGACACCCACCTCTTCACCAAGGAGCTCATGGAGGATCATGTCAGCCTTGAGGGACACCTTAGTTAATACCCCAAAACAAGTGGTTTTTACTTCAGGACTCAAAAGCATTAGTCCTGGCCAGCTGCACCACTAAAAGGAGCTAATTGCAGTGCCCAGGTCACTTTTGGAGGGGGGTCAGGAGCCAGACTGAGGGCAGAGCTGCTCTGTGCTACCCTGCTGAGCCCAGCCTGGGTGGTCAGACCCACATGTGCAGCTCCTGCCCACACCCTTGACTGCTGGCTCCCTACACCATCACTACATATAAAATGGGAAAGGTTTTTTTCACCTTAGCAAATAGACAAGCAGGAACTGTGGGTTGTAAGAGGACATTACATCTGAAGCAGAGGGATGTGCTGGGCATTGTATGAAAGGCTCCAGGAGAACTCCTGTCCCTGCTGATGGTCACCTCTTCAGTGTGAGGTCTGACAGGAGCTCTTCCTCTAAGGTTCAGCTTAGCTCAGTAAGGGATTCAGCATTTACAAGGAGCTGCTCCTAATTAGGAAGAAGGATGACTTTGGAGTCTTCAGACTTCAGGACTGATCTCAGTTGTGTTACACCTCAATGGGTGTTTCACTCCTGGAAGATCACAAAATAACATAGAGGAGCTCAGCCTGGATTTACTCAAGTCACAAGATGTGGGGATCGAATCTTCCAACCTCCAAGTCAGAAAAATCTCCCTTCATGATGTGTTAGGAGGAACCAAGCTCTGGACATGCTGGACATCTACAGGGCTCCAGAAATAAAAACATCCACCAAAAGCAGCACTTTCCTTCCCTGCCAGGGTGGGCACCAAGGTAGCTGGTGGTCTTTAGATGTTTTGGAGTGGGACTGGGCAAAAGGAACATTTTTCAGCAAAGATGGAAAATGAGCTTTTCTGTCAGTTGATAGGAGGGGAATATTTTACTCAAGCAACAGAGTTTGTGCATTGCCTGGGGAAAGTTTTGTTTAGACAGGACCCTGGTTTCATTGTACTTTACCACAATAAATAGAAGGCTCCTGCTATGGAAATCCACATCAACCTGCTCCAGGCATCCGGATGCTCAGGGAGCACAGCAGATCCTGACATCAGCAAAGGGCAAAGCCTTGCTCAGTCCTGTATGGGCTCATGTCACCGTCTGCCACCTTGGAATGTGGGTGATGGGTGATGCCCAAAGCCAACAGATGGGAGAAATAAACATGACAGAGAATTCCTGCAAGTCCCATTATGTCTTATTCTGGAGCAAGCTGCTGTCTGTTCACCAAAGCATCAGAGGCTGTCTCTGCCAAGGGAGTGCTTGAATGCAGTGATATTTATCTTTTTTGTTCCCCCTGATGCTCATTAAAATGGGAATTGGCTGGCTGTGGCTGTATCCAGCTGAATGCATGTGCTTCTTGGCTCCCAGCGAGGTCCTCGCTGCAGATACCGTGTGCTTTGGCAGCCGGGCCAGTCTGGGCTGCAGGATATTACGCCTGGCAGGGACACAAACCCCTTCCAGTTCCTGGAATTTGGATTGTCTCGTGGAGTGCTGATTAAGCAGTGCTTTCAATCTGCACCCAAGACAAAACCCTTGCCTCTGCACAGAGGCTCAGCTGCTGCGTGGCAGAGGGAGCTGCGGTGGGTTCAATCTCCTTGAGCCCCCAGGGAGACAAAAACTCAAAAAAGTTTCCCAAATTAAAAGCTTTGCAGTTCACAGTGTTGGATGAACATTTGCTGCTCAGGGCTCTGTCTTCTGTTAAATAATAGATCATTAAAAACCACCCTCTCCACAGCCCCAGTGTCCTTACCTCAGTGTGCACTTGGCACAGCTGCACCTCCCAGTCTGCCCAGTTAGGATCACTGCTGCATGTCCCCATCTGCCTTTTTAATCTGCTGGGAATGAAACTGCCTTTAGCAGCCTCACTAATGAGAGATTTGATGTGTGGGTTTGAGTGGAGGGAGGCAGCACCATGCCTCCACCCTGGTGCAGCACAATGTGCTGTCCTGCCACTGGTCCCTGGAGCTGACACACCTGTCTCCATAGATGAGCGTGAAACAGGGGCGTCTGCAGGGCTGCCAAACTGGGGATGGCACTTTGCCCAGCACCAGCAGAGAGGTGGCTGGTGTTTTGGGGTGATCTGGTGCTGGAAGGTGAGGCTGAGCTGCTTAGACCCCTACAACAGGCAGCCTGGATAATCAGAGGGCTATGGCAGCCACCCTGACACCCAGTCCCATCCACAGCAGAGCCCCCCACAGGATACCCAGCCCTGCTGGTTCACAGGGTGCTGCTGCTCTCTGCACTGAGGGATCCCCTCCTGCAGTGCTGCAGTGGGGCCAGAGATGTCCCAGCTGCATTTTCCCTGTCTCCTTGCTGGCACAACCATCATCCTACCTGCTGGGTGGGGAGTGGATGGAAATACCCCTCTGGCACACGTCTCAGCAGCTCCCCAGGGCCCACAGCATCTTGAGTTGCTTTACGAGAGAGTCAATGCCAGGAAAAATGTACAAAAGGGTCTCTTTCGTTGGAGGCTCCTAGCAGGGTGAAGCTGTATTGATACAGCACACCAGCTCAGTACCTGGGTGTTATTCTTGTTCCATGCTCAGGTCTGCACCTCCCTGAGCTCCTGCTCAGCTTCTGGTGCACAGCAGGTCTCTGGGGCAGCTGGGTGCAGCCAGCCAGGCTCTGGGACATGCTTTCAGTCCCTGCAGAAGGCAGGAGTTGTGCGTCTGGGATCCTCAGTTCTTGTCCCAGTCAGAGCTGGGGCATGAGAAGCAGTGACCTGCTGCTGCTGTGGGACTGCCTTCTCCTCCCTGCACATCTCTGTGTCCCTTGCCAGCTCAGGAGTGGGAGTTTGGTCTTGGTGCTCCTCTTCATGCAACTGAAGAGCCAGATCCTGGCTCCAAAGCCATCTGTGGTGAACCCAAAGCTGGTGAGGCACAGGGGGACCAGCACCTTGCTTAGCTGGGGCACTGTAGCATGGGGGGTGACAGCAGTGAGCCCTGCTGCAGGTCACACACGGCCACCCGTGCTGGCTCTGAGCATGGTGGGAGGAAGAGGTGACAGGCATTGCAAGCAGTCCCTCTAGCTGGCCAGGTGTCTCTGTGACCTGCAATAACTCAGTTATCCCCCGGCATCATGACTGTGTGGGATGTTGTAGGGAAACACACTTGATGCTGCAGGATATGGCTTTCAGATGCTACAGCCATTTCCCCTCCCTGGGGACAGACACATGGACACAGTGGAGGGAGCACAGCCACTGCTTTCCCCTGAGATAACCCTGGCTGGGCGCTGCCAGCTCAGGTCAGCGGTGGGGCCATGGGCAGAGTCCCTGCGGGCTGCGACAAGCCCGTCCTCGGGTTACACAGGTGGCAACGCCCAGCCCAGCGAGCGGCTTCATCTATAACGGGGAGAGCTGCTGACCCAGGGACGCGTGTGGCCACCAGGTCCCCTCCCAGCCACCCCCATAAGGGGCATCTCTGCCATCTGCTAAGCTTGCACCACAGTGGGGTGACCCTGGGGCTCCTGGCGAGTCCCAGCCCTGCTGCTCCCTTACCGGGGCAAAACCCCCTCTGCATCCCTCACCGACCTGGATCCGCTTCTCTGCCCACTGCCTCCAGCAAGATCCCAGCTAGGGAATGAACAGGAAAGAGATGGCTTTGGGAATCTCTGCCTGGAGGTAGCCTGAACAAATCCCCAGCCAGCAGCGAGGAGCGGCCCCTCCGCCCGCCGAGGCACCGAGCCGTGCCCTGCTCGCTCCCCCCGGCCCCGCGCGGGGCTCCGTGTGCCTGCGTGCGCCTGTGTGCGCGGAGGCATCCACCAGCCTATAAATCTCCTGGCAGGGCTCTTCCCAAGCTCCAGGACGTTCCCCGGGGGAAGAGTTAAGATGCAGCTTGTGCGTCAGCGGCCGCAGCGGGCTGCCCGCCGGGGCTGAGCCGAGCCTCCCGCATCCCCAGCAGGTTGTTCCCGCAGGTTGTTCCCGCAGGT